TGGGTGACTAAGTTAGAGGCAAGGCAGCAAAGGGAGCCTTGTAATCAGCATCTACTTAGGCCACCTGATCAAGTGGAGGCTTCTGACGAGGCCTTCCACCTCCAGCTCCAGGAGGTGTCGCAATTGCAAGTGTTTGTCCTGCTAGGGGACTTCAACCACCCAGACATTGTTGGAAAAGAAGCGTGGTGAGCTGTAGACAATCCAGGAGGCTACTGGAACGCAGTAAGGATAACTTCCTGAGTCAAGTAATAGACAGCCCCACCAGGGTGATGCAGTACTGGACCTGATGCTCATCAGTGCAAATGAACTGATTGGTGACATCAGGAGTAGAGGCCGCCTGGGCTGTAGAGACCATGCTATGGTTGAGTTCATGCTCTAGAGGGATATGAGACAGGCAAGGAGTAAAATTAGGATATCAAATTTCAGGAAAGCTAAATTTCAGCTGTTCAGGGAGTTAGTCGACAAAATACCCTGGGAATCTGTCCAAATAGGCAAGGGTGCAGAGCAGAGCTGTCAGATCTTTAAGGAAGCTTTCCTCAGTGTGCAAGAGCTCTCCATCCCCAGGTGTAGCAAGGCAGGAAAGGAAGGCAAAAGATATGTGTGGCTGAACCAGGACATGCTGGTCAAACTGGAGAGTAATAAGAAGATGCACAACCAGTGGAAAAAGGGACACGTACTTTGGGAAGAATATAAGGAAGCTGGGCTGTGTAGGGATGGGGTCACAAATGCCAAGGTCCAACTTGAACCAAACTTGGCATGGGGTGCCAAGAACAAGAAGGGCTTCTACAGATACCTCAACCAGAAAAGGGAAGTCCAGGAGAGTGTACCCTCTGGTGAGTGACAAAGACAACCTGGTAACAACAAAAGAAGTTTGAGATACTCAACAACTTTTTGCCTCGGTCTTTTCTGATAACTGCTCATCATGCAGTTTCAAATGTTTGGATCAGTAGAAGAGGATGGGTGAAACAGTGCTGCTCCCACTGTAAGCCAAGATCAGTTTCATGATCACCTGAGGCTGGGGGGCTCCATGTATACTTGGTATTGATTACCTTAGAAAGGGATATTTTAAGGATCCCAAGGGGTATCAATGAGACCTTGGAATAGCTGCTGTTGACACAGACGGTGTTAAGCAGCTGTCTGTTTTGCCTGGCCTATCCGAAGATCCATCTGTTGTGGGGTTGCTACAAGTAGAAGAGCAACAGGCACCGATTGCTACAAAAATGGTGCACAGATGGCACGACCACACCAACAGGGATTCCTTGCTCCCCTTTTGTGAGTTGATTCATCAACTGGAGATTCAGAGAGTGATAAGCAAAACTCACTCACCTTTTAACAGCCCCATATGACCAAGGTATAAATCCGGTGGAGACTGACAGCAGACTACTGTGGTCTGAATGAAGTCATACCCCTACTGAGTACTGCTGTACCAGATATGCTAGAACTCCAGTATGAATTGGAATAAAAAGCAGCCAAGTAGTATTCTACAATTGACATTGCTAATGTCTTTTTCTCCATTCTTCTGGCCGCAGAATGTAGACCATGGTTTGCTTTCACCTAGAGGGGGGCTCAGTATACTTGGAATCGTCTGCCCCCAGGATGAAAATACAGTCCAAAAATTTGCCATGGGTTGATCCCTATTGCACTAGAATAATGCAGTGCTCCTGAGCACACACTGTAGATTGATGAAATTTTTGCGTGAGGTGATACAGCAAGGGAAGTTTTCACAAAAGGAGACAGGATAATCAAGATCGTTCTGTGAGCTGGTTTCACTATTAAGCAAAACAAAGTGGAAGGATCTTCACAGGAAATTCAGTTCCTTGGTATTAAGCAGCAAGAAGGACATCATCACATCCCAATAGACGTGATCAACAAAATTACACCCATATCTACATCCGGTAGTAAGAAAAATGCACAATCTTTTCTGCGCAGAGTGGGCTTCTGGAGAATGCATGCTCTAAACTATAGCCTCACTGTTAGTTCCCTTTATCAGGTGACGTGGAAGAAGTTTAATTTTAAGTGGGGTCCAGAGCAGCAGTAGGTTTTTGAGCAAATTAAACAGGATGTAGCCCGTGCCGTGGCTCTGGAGCCAGAATGGATGTGACAGGATGGAAAGAACATCCTTTACACTGCTGCTGGAGAGAAAGGTCCCACTTGGAGCTTGTGGCAGAGCTCAGGAGAGACTCAAGGCCCAACCCCTAGGATTCTGGAGTCAAGCACACAGGGGTCCAAAGAGTACTGCACTCCAATTGTGAAGGAGATATTTGCCACATGTAAGAGGGTTTGAGCTGATTCCAAAGTAATTTGTACTGAAGCGGAGCTCCTTGTAGCATCTTGACTGCTGAAACTCAACTGGATGTTTAAAGGAAAGGTTCCCGCCACCCAACATGCTAACGATGCCACTTGGAGTAAGCAGACTTCGTTGATTACTCAGCAAGCTTGAATGGGGAACCTCAGTCATCCAGAAATCTTAGAAGTGATCATGGACTGGCTTGAAGGTAAGAAGTTTGGAACATCACCAGCAGAAGAGGTACAGCATGCTGAAGATGCCCAGATTGAATTACCAGAAAACTGAAAGAAATATGATCAGGGAACAGGGATTGTCACACAGAGGGGAAACATCACAGGTGGAAAGCTGCTATGGGGAGCCCTACATGACAAGTGGCAGAGGCCACTGAAGCAAAAGTTAAGACAATTTGCTGAGGTGAAGGCTGTTTAAGTAGCCTTAGATGTTGCTGAATGGGAGAAGTGGCCAAAGATTTTTCTTTATACTGACTTGTTAACAGTGGCAAATGCCTTATGTGGGTGGTTACAGCAGTGAAAACAAAAAACTTGCAACAGAGGGGTTGCTGAACTATGGAAAGACATTGCTGCCCAAATAAAGAATATGATTGTAAAGGTGTGCCATGCAGATGCTCATGAGCCCAAGAATTGGGCTACTGGAGAAGAACAAAATAACCAACAGATAGATCAAGCTGCCAAAGCTGAGGTGGCTCAAATAGGCTTGGTCTGGCAAAACAAGGGTGAGTTATTTTTAGTTCATTGGGCCCATGAGACCTCTGGACATCAAGGAAGAGATGCAACATATAAGTGGGCTAGAGACCGAGGGGTGGACTGAACTATGGATGCTATTGCATATACTATTGTGAAACATGCACCACAATTAAACAAGCCAAGAGAAGGAAACCTCTCTGAGGGGAAAAGTTGATAGCAAAAGTGTAAATATGGGGAGGTATGGCAGGTTGATTATGTCACCTTGTCACGATCTCACGATGGTAAGTATTATGTGCTTACCATGATAGAGGCAAACCTGGGTGGCTTGAAACATATCTTGCACTCCATGCTACTGCCCAAAACACCATATTAGGTCTCAAGAAACAAGTCCTATGGAAACATGGGACATTCTCCAGAAAGAATTGAGTCAGATAATGGACTATTACATGAAAAGCTTTAGTGCAAAATAACAGTTCTGCTGGAGAACTTGATGGGTTAACTAGAAAGTACGTTGCCAAGGGCAGCCTTCTCTAGGGTTTAAAGGTAACTCTAGTTATCTTACTGACTTCATTTTGTGTTCCTATTAAGAAACAAAGCCGCATATCAATTTTATCAGAGTTCTATGAAGTTGAAGTAAACTCTTGAAGAAGTTGATGGTGTGTAAGCCACGCAAGGACCATTTGAAAACCTGAAACTCTGCTTTTCAATTCAATGAATTCCAACAAAACTAACTGCAGATTGGAATGAAACAAACTGTAATGAAAACTAGATGAAACCACTATTAATTATATAAATGCGTAATTTAGAAAAGAGAATGAATTTGTCTTTGTTGCTAAAACCACAGTGTTTAACCCTTTTGAGCTGTGACTGTCATAAACTTAAAGCTGCAGAAAGGAGTATTCTCCAGGACTCTGAAAATTTCAAAACCGAGTTTCCAGGAAAGAAAAGCTAGAGTGAATGCAATGATGTTCACGTGGCCTGCTCTGCACATTTCGGCAAATGCACCCAGGACAGTTTTGTTAAACAGCAGCGGTACATTTGGCCTTACAGGCTGTTTCTATAGATGATGTTTCTGCCGTAAAATATTTGTAATCTATGGCTTAGCTTCAGGGACTGGAGGTTGGAGTTGAGCAGAGGCAGATGCATTCCCCATTTAGCATTAGCAACTTTTGCCATTGAATTTGCACATGTACGTTTAGAACTGAGTTCTTGACCTCTGACATCAGCTTCCACAGCAAACCGAAGCAGACACTCTTCTCTATACTAGAGTGCAAAGAACTAGTTACACTCACAGAGCCATAGCACTGTAACACATCTCTAGAATCTGTAATAACAAGTGCATGTAGCACTGCAGGCCTGCCACTACTCCAGTTTATGGCAGGCTAAAAAGAGTTGAAGGAGAAGAAAGGAGAAATAAAACATTATTTTCCCCCTAATTCAACCACTTCAGTTTCACTAAGTAGAGTACGGCTAAACATTTCAAAGTCTCGCTTGGAATGCTTGCCCCTGGGACATCAGAAGCTTAAATAATAAAGTCAATTTGCCTCCTGATATATTAAGCACTCTTTTTCAGATCAACAGCTTCATTATTAGATAATGCTGGCAAAATGTTAATTATATGAGATTTTTAAAAGAGATTTTAAATATCACATGCCAGTTTTCAGCTCTGGATCCTTACAGTGCTGATTAGACTGGTCTCTGAACACAGAGCTGAAGACACATACTTTAAATTAATACATCTGGCATACGATTTTGAAAAAATATTAAGTCCTTTTTATAACTGTGTTACCAGTTCTGTCAGTTTCTTTCCTTTATAAATAAACCAAATAGACTCCAGCTGTTCCTCCTGGCAACCTGAAAACAAGTCAAATAGTTTGATTTGGATGTTCATTTCCTGACTTAATTGAACTTACATGTTTTGCTAAACAATACACTTCTCTTAACATCAGTTATCTGGTATAAACCTGCTTCAGGTTCCAAGCAAAGTTAGGGAAAAAGCAAATACTTACATTTCAGCTCTAGTTTGATGAAGTCAGTATTTCCCAGATTCTCAAGAAATACTCCATCTGAGGCTGATGTTTTGAAATAGAAAGAGATATCTGCACTGGTTTCCCCTTGAAAGGTGGAGAAATGAAGGTAGGATGATGATGTGATGAAGGAGGCTGCATTCCAGTAGTTCCCTGAAGGGACGAGACAGATAAGAAACAAACATTTGAGTGCTCTCCGGAAATTTGAAAATGTTAACAGTAATATATGCTGCAGCAGTGTCTGTACTAAAAGAACCAAGACATCTTCCTTCTATTACTTTCTTTCCCCTCTTCTGGTTGCTTCATGTCTAGTTTTTGATACCTGTATTCCCGAATTCTTGATTTACGATTTTGAGTAGAACATTAATGTGCTTTTAAGAGAAGCCCTCAATAGAGTTCAGTTATCACTCTAACCATGTAATAGTAACACTGAGTTTACAGGTGATACTCCATAAGGGCAAAACGCTGATTTGGTGGCTGACTCACCTCAGGCACAGGTCTTGTATTCATATATTGCCTCACTCAGAGCTAATCCAGAATTACACTACACAGCATTACACATTTCTGAAAATGTAGCCAGATCTATTAGAAGTCTGTTAATATGTACCATAGGAAGAATCCTATATATGAAGCTACACACAGTAGCACAGTAGCACAGTATAGCACAATTAACACAAGCCCCTAAGAACCCTCTAAAATGTTTCCCCTGGAAAAAGATTGTCATTAATGTTATCCAAGCACTATAACAGTACTTAGCTAGTAAGTACTAGTACTTAACTAGCAAGACAGTCAATATTTCTGCAAAATAGCATCACATCATAAACACAAAAAAATACTCACAATATATTGGTGTAATGCAATGGAAAGCACAATGACAGCAGAGCAGCAAGATCCCATGCTGCTGCAGCAAGTGAGGATCAGCCCAAGCACAATGGCAGTGGGTGGAAAAATAAGAAAAAGAAACTGCTTATCTTCAGAAAGCCTGTAGGGTCCTCAGGTAGACAAGGACCTCCAAAAGAGATACCCTCGTCTCTGTTGCCAACCCTTAAATGAGGCCTGGGAAGGGTGGATCCTGGCTCCATCCTTTCTGGCCAATCAAGTACATTTCATGCCTCCACTCCTTCTGTTTACTTATGTGTATTACATGCATCTGAGCTCCCCTGGGTTGGCCCTGCCTTCCTATTGGGTTCTCAATTACTATTTTGAGCCATGACTTAGCATTTCCACTACAGCATGCAATCAGTGATAGACTGAAACATATAATATGTATATATATATGATAATGCATATAATTATACATATGCAATTCAGATTCATTCATTTCAAATTAAAATTATTAATATAAAGTCACTAATTCGCAACATTTCAGCGCTCACTATTCTGGCTAAAATACACAGCAAACCACTTTCTATCACAGCTGTAGCTCTCAGAGATCGATTCTCTGTTCTTTCATTTCTCTCGCTAGCACTGGATGTATGTAAAGGAGCATACTGCAGTTCCAGAAACTTAACACTGTTTGTATAACACCACTGGCCCTCACCCATCTCAGATGTTTCACAATTTGTGCAATTTGAAAATCTCCATTCAAATTCAAATTGAAGATCTGAATTATCAGAAGAAGGCTGTAGGTTTAAATACTTGTGTACTCTTCCTTTTCACATTTCCATCCCATTTCCTTAATTTAATTCTACCTGCCTTAAGAGGGCAGAATGGGTGGCTTTGAAAAAAGAAGCAGCTTTCCTTTTTACTTCAGTCAATTCCAGGAAGAACGTTGCAACAGAGATTTTGTGTGAGTGTGCGTGTAACATGCACGTATGAGCAAATAAAAAGGGGACCAAATAGGCTTCGTACAGTAGATACACATATATATTTTCTGAACTACCCAGTTAGGCTATGTCAACTGATTTTCAACAAAAGTAGCATTTGTTATTTTCTTTGTCTATGTTGTAGTTTCCACGGAAATAAATAGGAGGCACTACTTTTGGTGCAACCTACATAGGCAGAGTCCAACACAATTCCTCTTCACTCAGTGCAGCCCAGGAAAGGCAAAAGGCTAGACAGCCATCACCTAAGTTTTCACTGACTATGAGACAGTATTAGCAGCCTCTTTCAGGGAAGAAATTACCAAATTATTCTATTTTCTATCCTAACCTACCCTATCCTATTCTGCTCTCCTCTTCCTCTATGTCCAGCAACATCTAAATCAGATGTTCAAACAATTGAAGGAGCAAACACCATCTTACAAGTTAAAAGATGTTTATTTACAGGTTCATTTATTTTTTGGCCTAATGAAAGGAACATGGTAAGACAAATTCTCCATTTTTGCAAGCTTCCAGCTTTCCATTTTCTCCTTTTGTGACCAATTTTTTAGATTTCAAAATTAATGTCAGAGGAAATTTTTCTTTTCCCCAGCTCCATACCTTGTCCCACTCACATAACTATAACATCTGGCTTACAGAGAAATCAGATTATTTATCTGCAGACTGCTGCAATCTGATAAGTAGATTCACCTTGTTCCCAACTTAGGTGTGCTAACACTGAAATAGGATAATACAGGAGAATTAACAATAGGATAACAGTTTGCTGAAGCTTACTATAGGACAGAATGGGATGTTTCCTTTAATGACTTGAGGTAGAATTTCAATGTATAGGAAAAATTACTCTTCAGAATGGGTAGAATGTATTCCACTACTACAGATGTAAATCAGGAAGTGGCATACTGACCTTAACATCTTTTATGTTCTTATAGAACTTGAATACCTCACTGCTTTAAAATCTCTTCAGCTTATCCAATCTTTTAGCATTACGAGGAATTTTCTCCAACACTGCTATAGCTGAAGAGACATGATTGGAATTAAAAATCCAGCAAAAAAAAAAACAAAAAACAAAAAACAAAAAAAAACCCTATGTGCACATGAAGCTTTGAAGGTGTTTTAAAATGTGTGCAGAATGCCTTCTTATGTTTTATAATAATATGGCATATGTGGCCATTATACCTGGATACAAAGCCTAATGTTCAGTTTTCTGTTTAACTCGTGCAAGCATTTCTGCTGAGCAGCTTTAGCCAACCAGACTCTCAGAGGAAAAGATTAAAGCCTTCCTCCTGATTCCATGACTTTTAATCTTGTGGGAAGAGAAGTTAAAATGATTGAAATGACAACATGAGGAATCACATCTAGCTTTGGAGGGCAATAACCAAACAATAACCATAGAAAACTCGAGACACTGACATGAACTGACACTACTTTTGTTTGAATACGGTCGAATCAGAGGTTTCTGCACAAAAAGAATCCAGGCTTTGAACAAATTTCCTGGGCTTTCTGCCATCAAACCTTACAACTGACTGTTGCTATCAGAAAAATGGCATACAAGAGGAGTTCTTGTCCTTCTCATAATCTTGGCATGTGAACATGTATGTTGGAGGTGCCCACTCCAAATCCTGGATTTTATCTTAATGAACAGAAGCACTCCGCAAGAGGCTTGAACTGTCTGAAAGTAAACACTACTAATAAAAGGTAGAAGTAGGGTGGTAAGTTGTTCCTCCTGCAAAAAGGGAGGGGAAGAGAATCTGGTATCTCCCTTAATTGACACTATCCATTTGAGCTTCAAACAGTATCTGTCAGTTACTCAGCTTTTAAGGTCAATATTTAGCCCAGAATCGTAAAAACACGGACAAACAAAAATCTAGGCAGAAATCACAAGCTTTTGGAATGAGAATAATTCACATCAACAAATGCGTGTTGCGAAACAAAACTGATGACTACGAGTCTCCATGCTTTTTCTGCTGTCTTTCCTGTTTCAAGGTCTATCCCATAATGAAGCTTTCTCTCAGCAAACCTCCTTCATTGCATGATTCAACTCCACGTCTTGTAATATTCATGTAATATTGCATCAGTTTATTTGGTATGGACATATCAGAGGATGTGCTAATAGCTTCTCCTGTACAATTGTTGAAGTGAAAACTGGAATTACTGTTTTTTCTTTTTAAATTCATTTTTATTTTTTCCTCATAGGAGCTGTGCCCTCTTGGTCAATCTTATTTTTAGCCTTAACAACATTCACTTCCTGCTTCAGGGGTTGTCAAGTCCTCCAAGTTGTTGGAGGCTGCAAAACAGTAGTTAGATGAACAACATACTGTACAAACCAATGCGTTGTGGTGGTATTTATCCAGTTGTTACATTTTCTGCAGTGTTTCTGTCACTAGCCTGCAATCTTCAATTTCTGTCTGACCAAGCCAGGCTCCAGATGCAACTTCAGATTAGGGTGTTTTTCTCTATGTTACCTAAATTGCTGAGTTTATGCTCATCTCTATGATCATCATGCCAGAATTCTGAAGGCTGAAATCACAGGGGAGATGAGTTTTCTTGTTTGTTTCTACGTTTCTTAACAGCCTTGCTATTATTTCTCATGTCCCTGCTGGATCACAGCACATCCGGAGAGATGTAATTTTGACCAAATGCTACTTCTCTGAATAGAATAAAACATACAAGTTACCATGCTTACTGGATCTGTGAACTCATGCCTGGCACGTTGGCAGAGGTAGCTTAGTATAGATGAGTCATGTGTTAGGCCTGCCGTGGTCCTAAACATGCTACCTGAGATGAGGGAAACAGTTATTCAAGCCAACAGTGATCTCTCTGATTCTTACAGTAATGGAAGGAAAGTGGTATGAGAGGAGATTCAATCATGGTATCAGCTCATCTGCGCTACACTTTAAGAAGTTATAAGGCTTTTATTCCATGCTCTGCTACGTTGGGTATCCTGGCTGCATGACCTCAAAAGTCTGCCTGGAGTTTTCAGAAGTGTTCCCTCATAATGCAACTCCTTCTTGTGCCACAGGCATGTCAATATCACCATGAACATGAACAAATATTGCTATAATGGACAAAGCGATGAGGAAGACAGGCTAAAATTTCATCTTCTGTTGGTTTCACAAGAGACATACAGAGACATTGCTTGGCACTTCTGAGGCCAAATTTGTTATGTGCAGTCACAGTTCTGTAGATAGTTCTTCGTAAGTGTTCACAATAAATAGTCTGCTCCTAATTATTGTGCAATAGAATAACTCTTACTAAATCTAAACCAAATGCATGTTAAGGAACTTAAATTTGTAGTACTATCTGATACAAACCATCAGAAGTGGCAGTTTTGAT